GTGTCTGGGGTGCTGTGTCTAGGTGCTGTGTGTGTCTGGGGTGCTGTGTCTGGGTGCTGTGTGTGTCTGGGGGCGCTGCCCGTCTGGGGGGTGCTGTGTGTGTCTGGGGTGCTGTGTGTGTCTGGGGGTGCTGTGTCTGGGTGCTGGCTCCGTCTGGGGCGCTGTGTGTCTGTCTGCTGTGTGTGTCTGGGTGCTGTGCTCCGCGCAGTGTGTGTCTGGGGGTGCTGTGTCTGGGTGCAGTGTGTGTCTGGGGGTGCTGTGTCTGGGTGCAGTGTGTGTCTGGGGCGCTGTGTCTGGGTGCTGTGTGTGTGTCTGGGGTGCTGTGTCTGGGGGGTGCTGTGTCTGGGTGCAGTGTGTGTCTGGGGGGTGCTGTGTCTGGGTGCTGTGTGTGTCTGGGGGGTGCTGTGTCTGGGTGCTGTGTTTGTCTGGGGGGTGCTGTGTCTGGGTGCTGTGTGTGTCTGGGGGGTGCTGTGTATGGGGGTGCTGTGTGTGTGAATGTATTTTTTTATTTAAATTTAAATATTTTTTTTACTAATAAAAAAAAAACAAAAAATTATATCCCCCCCCTTCTTACCTTTATCCTGGGAGGGGGGGGGAGGGAGAAGATCAGTTCTCCCTGGGGGGTTGGGAGCCATGCTGCCTTCCCTGGTGGTCCAGTGGTGAGAGTGAACTTTAACCTGCGGGTTAGAGTTCACTCTCGCGAGATCTGAGCGTTGCCGCGGCAACGCTCAGAATCCCGCGAGAGGACCGGCGGAGCTGCTTGTTGGAGCTCCGCCGGGTCCTCCCTCCCTCCCTCACCATCCGGCGCGGCCGCATCTCACTGTCTGTGGGCCGGTGAGGGAGATCTTTGATCTCCCCACCGGCCCACGGAGGCACTATGCAGGGCCGGCGCTCGGATAGCGCTGGCCCTGCAGGGGCCGGCCGGGGAGATCCCCTGCCGGCCTCGGCCCCACGGCCATCGCGGCCCACCGGGCATTTGCCCGGTGTGCCCGATGGCCAGTCCGGGCCTGACCCTAGGTCAAAAACAAGAAGGCGGTATTGGAAGATACTATTGGGGATGAATATAAATAGGGGTTGATGTATGTGAGAAAAAGGACCCATATGGCAGAAAGGGAAACAAGTGGGGCAATAAGGGAAATAGAAGGGGCAGATAGGGTAAAGTGTACTGGTAGGCAGGGACGGGGTTAGGAAAAGGAAAAGTATTAACCCTCCATACTAATATATGACTGCATTTATACACTAGTGCCCTAAACATATACACCACTGCATTCAAATACTGACAATATACACAAATTATTATATTATTTATATAGTGCCAGCAAATTCTTTAGTGCTGTACAA